GAAACGTCTTCTCCGACAGACAAGAAGAAGAAAGCACGTCTTCGCTTTCAACTAGATGCACGACTGCACCAGCATCCCCGTGATGATGATTATGTCATGACGACGGTGCTGCCCCTGCTGATGATGTTTATGATTGTGATGATGATAGTTATTGATGATGATGATGATGATGATGATGATGAGAACGGTTCAATCAGGTTCCGGAGCCCGGAAGTCCCTTTTGGCCTCACGGCTGAAACAGGTAAACTGCACTATGGCACCTGGCGGCACGCCATGGTTGCTGCCCTTTGATGAAGGCAGTCCGGGCAAAAGCCCTCCAGCTTTTTGAGTGGTGGGACTTCGGCTTTGGGCTTAGGGGTTTCAGCTTCGGGTACAGGAGTTTAGGATTGTTTGTTGTCGCTTTGGTTTCGGGCTTCTTCAGTCAGAAGGCTTAAGCCCTCGGTGTTTTGATGGCATCAGCCTGGGCCTCAGGCGCTGCGACGCATGCGCCAGCCGCTGAACGGAACCACAAGAGTTCACGAAGATGGTTGCGGCAAGCTGTACTGGGCGCGTCAGTGCTCTGCTTGTCTGTCCTTGTTGCATATGCGCGCTCTCACCTGCAAAGTAAGAAGACCGGGTGACAAGCGACGGGAGTCGTTCCATGCGTTCCAACAAAAGCAGCCGCTGCAAGCAATTCCCAGGCCGCGTGGTTCGTAGGAGCCGCAGGTTTGCGCCGAAGGCCGACTTGAGGGTCTTCAGGGAACGGCGGGGTGGATTGGACGGGTGAAGTTGAGAAGAGAGGCCTGGTACTGGCCCGGTGTAGGGTGTGTCAGTGTAGGGCCTGCCCTTCAAGAGCATTTCGGCCCGCGCCACACCGAGGATGAAGGAAAGGCGAGACGACAGCAGCAGCAGCAGCAGCAGCAGCAGCAGCAGCAGCATCATCAGCAGCAGCAGCAGCAGCGTCAGCAGCGGTGGCAGTGGTGGCAGCAGCAGCGGCACAATCACCGACAGCAACAACACAGACCAAAGCAGCAACATAGCGTCATCATCATCATCTTCTTCACCATCAACAGCATCATCTTCGACTAACTATACTTATGGGGACCAATTCTCAGAACCGTAGTCTGCAGCTACCAACACAGTCTGTGAATCCAATGCGAAGGGCGCCACTCTGGCTCAACAACGTGAGCCCGTGGCTGCCTGACCGAAATATTTTGTACATCAGCCACCAAGTCCCTACACCAGAATCAGAAGACCAAAAGCCAAAAGCATCGGTCGCAAGCCTCAACTCGTCACCAAGCCGTTTTGAGCACTTCAGCCCCAAGTCCCAAACACCATAAAGCCATAAAGGCCCTTAGCCTATGGCGCCCGGCATGGCGGCAGCTCAGATGGGCGCCACGTGGTCGCCGCTCCATGCTTCAGGCTTCCACGACCTGTCACCACGGGTCCCCCAGGACAAGACCCTGGGAGAATTCTCCGAGCTTCCTGGGATCCTCGCAAAAACCAAGCACGCGGGATGGGGCGCCGATGTAAACTGACTCAGATGACTTCAGGTTCATGCCGGCTGGAGAGAGATCGATTCGTGTGGATTTTGGAGTGTGGCTTATGTTGAAGTTGGAGTGGCTTGGGGAGCCCGACCTTTTATGGCACTAAACTAAACTCGACCCCCCCGACACAGGGCATGGGAGGATTGAGGACTCAGCCAAGAGTTGAGGTTTTCGGAGCCCATTGTTTGGTTTTTCTGGGGAGTCTGTGGTCTTGAATCCAGCAGGATCCTGCCACCAACAGACGACATGGCTGAAGGAACTTCTTCAACCCCACCCCGAAAAACGCTTAAACCCAACAAGCTAAGGAGCTATGAGGGCAATTACAGGCCTGCCCGGGTTGGACTTGTGCGGGTACTCGAGTCTGGCAAGATGCGGCCACTTGGATTTGCCAAGCCTCAACTTTAGATTTCTCGTGTAGTGGTTCAACTGAAATTGGAGCAAGCTCAGCTAGGCACCCTGCCCCTGACACTCCCTGCCGCTCTGAGCGCACAGCCGTTGGACTTTGAAGCCCTGTAGTTGAGATGCACTTCAAGTCGCCATTGTGCAGCCTGCCCCGCTCGAACCTCTGAGGAATCCGCTGCAGATGCTGCTGGGCATAGACAGACTGAGGATGGCGTTCTTTCTCTTGTTCGGCTCTGTGTTTCATGGCTTGACGGCAACAGCAACAGAGTATCTCCAGTCTTCGGGTCGACCGACAAACACCCTTCGTTTTTGAGGCAGCAGTCGCAGACGGACTGGGCGGCACGGCGGCCGCTGAGTGCATCCAAAGCCAACCGATTGTCGCGCGCGGGGCTTCCTTCGAGTTTCTGGGACCTGCATTTTCGATCTAGAGTTCCAGACTTTGGGCTCAGAGGTCTAGAGTCCGGAAGAGGGCAGGCCAGTCATAGATATTTCGGATGGAGGTTCACTTGTTCCTCCAGTGCCCTGTGAACGTACAGAGCATCGTTGCTGCATCATCTTCATGTCGGGTGGTGTCCACGGGCGTCTCAGACAAAGGATTCCAGACGATCAAGAACAGTATGGGTCCCACGTGCCAGGTTCTGCACTTGCAGACTGGAACCTTCTTCCGCAGTGTGGTTCAGCTCGGGGTCCAGTTCTTCAATAGATCTGCCTCGAATTCCGGGTTTTGGACGGCCTCGGTTTGATCTGTGGTCCGATCCCATTTGTGGTCTGGTCGGTGACCGTCGCCGGTCACATGTTTCCTTCCAACATGCGCGAGCGATTGAACATTTGTCATTCCACGGTGCCGCCTCAAGTTCTCCTGTCTGCCGTGTCCAGCTGTTTTGATGAGTGTCCTGCATTTCATTCTGTGGATCCACCGTTTCTCAACCACCACCACCCTCGAAAGCAAGAGCGAGAACCTGGATGGGTCACTCGTGGTGCTTCAACTCCGGCTTTCTGGCAATAGTTTCGGCAGCTCTGGGTCCACGTGACTTGCCTTTTCGAAAGATGGCGGTATCTCCGCCGCCTGCGGTCTTCAAGCAGCTTTCCAACCACCAGGCACTCTCAGAACCCATGCCATCCCGTGACAAACCAAACTAGCTGAGGCAGCTGAGCCTTGCCTTGAACCTACGGAATAAATTATAGACCGAACTGATGGAGCTTTCAATGCAGTGGAAGCACGATTGTGTTGCTCCATTGCTGCTCCATCTTTGCTGTCGCAGTTCTCGGTATGGGCCCGAAAAAGGATAGGGGGCCCTCATGTTGCCCTCCTCTCGCGGGCCAGTGCTTAAAATCGGTTCGGTGGTCCAGCATGGCAAGCTTTGCTAAACAATTCCTTGTCCCAACACCGTCTCTGCCAACGAGCCACGGAAAAGCTGAGGCAATGCACATTGCTCAATCTCTTGCTTTCCCTTCCAGCCCAAGTGTTCTTGCTCCCTCAAGCAAGGTCCCGGGCGGGGTGGCCAACTCAGCAGCCGGGGACTTAAGCCCCACGACCATGCCGACAAGGCATGCTCCGGGTTTCTGAGGTTCAGTTCTGCGTTTGGGGGTCAAAGGGTCTTGCCTGAGCCTTTGGGACTTGACTTCGTGACTTAGTGTCCGGGTTCGGGGGGGACAGCTGCTTTAGGGGGTGGAAGGAGCGTTGTGTTGGATTTTGTGCCGAAGCAGAACAGTTGAGAGTTGTTTGCCTTTGAATATCACCGGGCTCCTGAAGCATGACCGTGCATGATGCGGTAGGTTAGCAGGCTCCTGTGTTCATCCAAGGGCTTCATCGGAAGTTGACAATCAACGAGCACATACAGCATGGAGTGATGCTACCAGTGACAGTACGATGCATCATTGTAGAATCAATATGACAAGGGTCGCCAGCATCATCATCATCATCATCATCACCAATATCATCATCACCGCCATCATTACCATCATCGACCATTATCGCCACCATCATCAACGTCATCAACATCGATCGGTTCGCAGTCGTCATCATCATCATCATCATCATCATCATCTTCGTCATTATCATCAGCAGCAACAAAACCTCATCACCATCACCTTCATCATGTCAGTATGGTCATCGTCAGGCTAGTGACATCACCAGGATTCGCATGTGTACGAACACACGTACACACAAAGTGTGAAACCCTTCGGGCAAACACGCACACAAGGGGACGAGCATACCGCAGATACGCAGGACACACACTTGCACCTATAACTTGCTTTACCTACAACTTACGCCCTCGCTTTGCCTCACATCCTTGCAGAAGGTCGCAGCCAGCACTAGCACTGCTGCGGTCGGTGCCGGCGTCACTCAGCGACCACCTGGAATGCTCCAGCCGCAGAGGACCTACGGTTTGAGGAGTCAGGCGCAGGCGTCCGTGGAGCTGCTTTGGCATAAAGGTTAATGCTTTAGAGGATTAGAAGGCCCTATGCTTGACTCGCGAAGGGCGACAAGTGCGACTGCAGCTTAGACATCATACCTAGATCCCTCACTCGGTTCGGCATGGGTTCGCCCCAACTCGGCTTGTCGAAAAGAGCCGTTGTAAGACTCGCATGCGATTCCGTGGCTGTTTACTTTTTGCTACTGACCTGCTGTATAATCATGAACCATGTCCTTCTAGTTCTCAGACTTCAGCGAGGATAGAGCTGCCCGGCTACTTGAACACGCCTGCGCGGCGTCCCGACGGTGAGCCGCTGCTTCCAGAGGAGCGCACGGTGACCCTGAGAAAGATGAAGGCCTCTCGGCACCGGATAGGACATGAAAGTGCAAATCGATCAGGGTCCGAGCTTGAGCCCCGCTTTCTCCTTCAAGTTCGGCGATTGTCCGCTTGCGGCTGGCGTTAGGACCGTTAGGACATACAGTAACAGAGTCTATGTTCGCTTTGCGGTAAAGAAACACCGGGAGCGAGCATCAGTCCTGCCAATAAGCCTGAGTCCAAGCTCGTAGACCCTGCAACCTGAAGGCCGAAGCACTGCTCTGCTGCCCATTCTGGGGCTCTGGGACTTTCGAGCCCAGACTACGCCTGAAAGCCGAAAGCCCCTGAGCCCACCAAACCCTTGAAACTTCGACTGAATTCCAAGGACTTCGAGATGTTGACCTTTGCCTGCCGGCGAGCGTCGAAGTTGCGGGAAGAGGGCCGCGCTCACTTCTCGCTGCCTGTCGGATTCAATGTCTAGGGTCAGCCTTGTTGGGCAATCGATGCGCGACCGTGTTGATTTTAGTATTGTGCTGACCTGGGGCCTTGGAGTTTCTGTCTCTGATGACGTTGGAAGGTTAGCGTGTAGGATTGAAGGAAACTTCGGCTTTTTGTTGTGTGACATTGAAGGGCATGAGGATTCATGAGAACCCGTAGATCAGGCATGCCGTGCCTTCGTGTTGGGCACTCATGGTTTGTGTTTTAAGTGCAGGTGTTGGATAAGTGCAACACTGCAGCTCAGAATCACCAACTCATCAAAACACCGAACTGCTCGGTGCTCCAGCGCCTCAGGCTCGGCGTCCTCCGGGACAACTTGGGGCAGTACCAGAAGGTCTGGAGTCTGGATTTCTGCTTCCTTTGTATATGTGTGTGTGTGTATGTGTGTGTGTGTGTGCCTGCGTACATCAACTTGAGGGTGAAATTTACATGCTGTTTCTTTTCGTACAGCAACGTATGTATATTATATAAAAGTTTTTTCACACACAAACAGATATACACATGATTTTGGAGAGAGCGAGAGAGAGAGAGAGAGTGAGTGGGTGAGAGAGAAAGAGAGAGATCCTCCTGCACTTCTCTTCTGGATTTGAGTTTAACTGGGATTGCAATTAGGCACAGCAGCTATCTTGCACAGCTTTACATGACAATTCCTCCTCCTGCTACTAGTACTACTACTACTCCTTCTCCTACTACTACT